TTTTTATGCAGTGAGCAACTTCTTAAAAAAAAAAAAAAAAAAAAAAAAGAAAACCCAAACATTTTTGGTAATAAATGTTAAATCTTTTCCAGATGAGGCGTGTAGCCAGGAAAAGAGAGCAGGTTACACCTCTCACCTGGGGGAGGATGCACTCCCGGCTGGCGCTGGATGCTGATGAGCTGCCACGTGCTCAGCTGCGCTGTGGGGAGCAGCCCTTCTCCATCCTGCCCTCCCCCCTGCAGCCCCCCAGCCTCAGCCACAAGCTACACAAATTCCAAGACACAGAATTTACAGACCACAGGTTCCCACGTCACAACACTCCCCATCCCCAAAGCACAGACCCAGAGCTTTAAGGGCAGAAATAAAACCACTGACCACCCAACCCGGACCGAAAGAAGACTCCAAAGAAACACTAAGGTTTGCACGGCAATAAAAAGATAGCCCTTCTAAAGGAGGTCAATAAATAAGAGAACTAGAAAAAAATCAATTGCTTTAGAGTTCAGCACATGAAGCCCAGCTCCCCACCCCCAGGCGAGGGCTTTCACCTGGCCACACTGGTGGGTGAGGAGGGAGCGAAGACGATGGGGATGCACGGAGAAACACGGCTCTTCCCCTCTTGGCATGGGCTTCTCTGCCCAGGGACTCTATATCCACAAAGCTGCCCCTCGAGGGACAGATGCTACTGGCCAAAACCAGTCCCCGGGTTGCCCAGCGGCAGATAAACTGGGGGGCATGGCCAGGAGAGTGGCTGTGGGTGGAAGAGTGAAGCCAGGGGGGCTTAGCTCTGCCCAGCCGCTCATCCCAGCCCACCCCCCCAAGAAGGAAAACCAGTTTCTCCTGAGTCGTCTCAATTCTACAGCAAGTGTTTCAATAGCTTTGAGAAGTGCAAAAATCAGCTCAGGGGTGCAGGGTGTCCCCAGGAGCACCCAGGAGCTCTTCGGGGGGGGAGGAGGGGGGTGTCCTGATGCTGGGACCCCGCACCTTCAGCCTGGCACAGCTGCATCCTCCAGCGCTGCTCCGGCCTTGCAGAAAACACACCAAATTTCTTGACCCCCCCCCCCTCTCCTCCACCTCCCAGCTGGATCCCCAAGAGTCAAAAACCTCTGAGCATCTCTGCCTGAGAGCTCTTCAGCAGCCACCAAGTTTGTGTTCACGTGAGAAGGGAAAAATCTCTTACGATACGGATATTCAATATATATTTCAAGTCAGTCGAGGCAGAGCCAGCCATCACCTCCTGTAACGTCAGGCCAGGGCACAAGCCAGCGCTCGCTCCCCCAAAGTCTTCACCCAGATGATGCCCCAGCTCAGTCTCCCTGGGGACTTGCAGGGGTGGCTGCCCACGTCCTTGCCACCCCTCGGAGAAGAAAAAGGGGAACCCCCCCACCATGGTCCCCCCCACTGGCTCACGGGGACGATGTGCTTTCAGGCTTGTCGCTTTTGGAGGACTTTGGCTTCAGCAAGATGAACCTGTTGAGGAGGTCGGTGTCCGAGCTGGCCTGGGCGCCTGCATATGCCTCCCCTGAGGATGAAGCAGAGGGTGGTCTTGTGCCGTGGGGGACGCTCCTCGGCGGGGGATGGGGACACTCACCGGCGTAGCTGGAGGACTCGGCCATGTTCTGGGAGCCGGTGATGTGGTGCCAGTAGGCGCTGCGGGGCAGCATGGTGGTGGGAGTGCAGGGGTAGGAGAAGTGCTCGGTGCCCTTGTTGAGCAGCTGTGGAGGACAAGAAGGGGGTGAGGGTGACACAGGGCACCCTGAGCCACTCCCCCCCCAGCCATGTCACTGAGGTGAGCTGGAGCTCACCCTGACGTTCTTCTCCATCTCCAGCAGGACCCTCTTGTGCTGCTCGGCGATGGCCAGTGTGGCGCTGTGCACGCGCTGGTAGATCTGCTCGCCCTCCTGCGTCTGGAAGGTGTAGAGACCTTCTCCTGCGTCACACATCCTGTGGGGACGGGGCACAGAGCGTCACTGGGGTCCCCAAGCTGAGGGATGATAAAAAATATCCCCCCCCACCCAGATGGCAGCTGACCCTGCTTCCCACGCTTTAAATGCTGTTCCCATGTCCCCTCCATGGTGCTGAGCAGCCAGCACCAGCCCCAAACCTCCCTGTCTGTGGGGCACCTCATGCAGGCCATGGCCATCACCGTGGCATCATGCCTGCCCTGGGGTGATGGCAGCAGTACCACCTGGGACGGTGGTCCCTGTCCCAGCGAGGGTGACATCTCACCGTCCGGCCTCGAAGGTGAAGCGGGTGGCATCACGCCCGTAGCGGCGCAGGGAGCAGAGGGGCCAGGAGACCAGCTTCACCCGGGGGTTGTGGGTGTCCCAGAGGTAGATGTTTTCATGGGTGATCTGCAGCTTGCACTCCCCGTAAACGTCCAGGTTGGGGCAGGGGAGGAGGAACACGTTAAACCGGTCTGGAGAGGGAAAAAAAAAAAAAAAACAACCAATAAATGAAATGAAATATTTCAGGGGGTGGTAGCGAGGCCGGGTCCCAAGCGGGCACCCTGCCGCCCACCGTGCTCACCCGTCTGCTCGCACTGCACGCCGGGCGCCAGCAGGTCGGGCTCCCCCAGGCTGATGTCGTTCAGGCGGGCGCCCAGGCACTCCACCGACAGCGTCTTGTACCACTCCTCCGCCTCCAGCTCTGCAAGGCACCACAGCAGCCCCTGGGTCACCCTGCCCAAACTGGGGTGCTCCACCCGACTGATTCCCCTCCCCCCCCCCCCCCCCCCCCCCCCCCCGGGGGCCCCCCCCTTTTCCCCCTCATTTCCCCCCATTTTTCCCCTACTTTTCCCTCTTTTCCTCCCCTTTCCCCCCCAAGCCCTGCTCCCCTGGGTGCTACCCCCTACCTGAATCACAGGTGAAGGTCCGGGCAGAGTCGTCGGTGAAAACGATGGCCACGGCCTGTCTCTTGGTCTCCTTGGGCAGCCGGGTGATGCACTTGACGTTGCTTATCTCAGTCACCTGTGGAGGAGGTGGGGGTGAGGGGGGGGGTGGTGTCACCAATGGCTGCACCCAAACCCAGCCCCAATGC